TCTATCAGACCTGGTGCAGAACTACCGTTAGACGCGGCTACTGCTCTTTTAAATTCTTCCACTTCAATAGGTAACTGTAATTGCCATAGCTGATCTTCCACCACTGTCTCTACCGATCTTATATCTTCTTCAGATGGTCTAGCAAACAAATTCAACCAAAACTCCTGTAGTTGTTCGTTACTTACGTTTTGCTGTTCTGGGGCGCCTAAGCTCCGCCATCTTCCATCAAGTACCATCTTCGCACACTTAGTTCTATCCTTATGATATAGCTTCTGGACGTCCCTATACAGCTGTCTTCTTTGAGTTCTTCTGCCACCCCTATTGTTGTTATACTGGGGGGCATTTCCTCCGCGAGCAGCATACCTCAACATACCTCAACATAGCTTGTGCCATCTCATCTAATATACTCTGCACAGCTAAATGACACTCTCCACTAAATAAATCCTCCTCATTAAAAACATTTAAAACATTTAAAACATTAATACCAATATCCCCTAGACCCTCCCGCATTTTCTCCACACAACGTGTAACAAAGTGTATCATGTTCTGTAGTTTCTGACATGTGTTCGCGTATGCACTTGGGTTAATTGCACCAAGTAGGTGCTGTGTTAGTGCTTGTACTGTTGGAACACTCACATTGTGGGAGATTTCAATTCCATAACACCCTTCCCTACCCCCAATTTGGTTGCTTCGCGCCTCTTGGCGGTCAACATCTTGAATCCTTAAACTACCAACATCACCAGTATCAGACATAAGTCTTTCAACTAAAGCTTTATAGGAAGCCATCCTCCTGTGGCCCTTAATTGCTTCAACCGACCTCCCAGTGTGGACATCCGCCAACAACAAATTCATCCTCGCAGGGACACCATGACTAACTCTTATTTCTTCTTTCAGGATCTTTACCTCGGCCATAGCCAACACCAATTCCTCTTCTTTAGTCCATCTGGTCTTCACATGAACCGTTGCCTCCTCCACACCCCTATGATAGTCGTCAGGGTGCTTCTTTCTTGTATGAATAGACAATCCACTCTTACTCCTACACACCAGACCACACACAAGACACCGAAATGGAGCTCCATTTTCATCAGCCATTACACTTAAGGACTTCTCAAACAACACACAAGAGAAAGGGTTTTGCCACGCACAGAACTCGAGTGGGTCACGCCCACTCTTATTACAACCCGTTAAACTAAATTTAGAAAAGGCTCTGTACGTGGCGATTTGTGCAGCTTTAGCCACAGGCGGCCTCGTTGCCGAAGCCCCCATGCCTAACCTGCGTTACCGACTCCCACCTGGATTATATCCGGAGGTACTGCACGAGGATCTTAATCGCTCGGTCCGAGAAAATAGTAAGTGGTGCACCAAATGCTATCCTCAAAGAACAAGTGACTTCAGTGTTACAATCCAACAAGTGTGTTTATCTTCAACCATCTTATCTCCACCAACCGTCTCAACATACCTGTAGGGTGTTCAGTATACCTGTAAGGTGTTCAGTATTCCTGTAGGGTGTTCAGTATACCTGAAGGGTGTTCAGTATACCTGTAGGATGTTCAGTGTATCTGTATTGTGTTCAGTATACCTGTAGGGTTTTCAATGTACCTGTAGGGTGTTCAGTGTACCTGTAGGGTGTTCAGTATACCTGTAGGGTGTTCAGTATACCTGTAGGGTGTTCAGTGTACTTGTAGGGTGTTCAGTGTACCTGTAAGATGTTCAGTATACCTGTAGGGTGTTCAGTGTACTTGTAGGGTGTTCAGTATACCTGTAGTGTGTTCAGTATACTTGTAGGGTGTTCAGTGTACCTGTAGGGTGTTCAGTGTACCTGTAGGGTGTCCAGTGTACTTGTAGGGTGTTCAGTGTACTTGTAGGGTGTTCAGTATAGCTGGAAGGTGTTCCGGGGATCAATGCCCCCGCTGCCCGGTCCATAACCAGGCAGATCGTAAATTTTAAAAGAGTGAATTAATGATCTTCCTGGAAACATTCCAGGAAAGGAAGTGTTATCAACTTCTGTTTAAGTAAATTATACTGTAACATCTGCGCCATTAAGTTTTCTCTGAAACCAATTGAGATTAGACCTTCTGGGAGCAATAATTGAAATATCAGTGTTTTCCATCCTTCTTCAGACACAAGAGGTGAAGTATACATTGGTTGCATCTCTCTGTTATGATTAGTGAACGGGGATCGAACCTGCACAACAACTTCTTGAGCTGAACATCTCTCGTGGATTTACTGTTTCACATAACGTAAAATAATAATAATAGTTTTCTTGATCCATTCATGTTCTTACTCTCATTACCTTCTTTCCATTCTTCCTTCTCATATTCCTTATGAGTCTTTCTCTTCTTCTTCCTCCTTCGCCTCCGTCACCTCCTCTTTGCTCCTGGCTGGTGTACAAGTGTCTTGGTACCTGTTGCAAACACCTTAATTACCTTTTCGAATATAGTTTTACATTCAAGGGGAAGCACTAAGCCCGTAGGGGTCATACAGAACTTGAAAGGTAATCAGATTTGATCCGAGGAAGATAAGGGAACCTCCAGTTTTTAGGATCATGAGCCTTTCATCAACATTCTCTCCCTTGGTAAGGATCACTGTCAGTGAGGAACACAGATGAACACTGTAATGTATGAAGAACAGTGTAACAACCAGTACCACTAGTGTAACAACCAGTACCACTAGTGTAACAACCAGTTCCACTAGTGTAACAGCCAGTACCACTAGTGTAACAACCAGTACCACTAGTGTAACAACCAGTACCACTAGTGTAACAACCAGTACCACTAGTGTAACAACCAGTACCACTAGTGTAACAACCAGTACCACTAGTTTTAACAACCAGTACCACTAGTGTAACAACCAGTACCACTAGTGAAAACAACCAGTACCACTAGTGTAACAACCAGTACCACTAGTGTAACAACCAGTACCACTAGTATAACAACCAGTACCACTAGTGTAACAACCAGTACCACTAGTGTAACAACCAGTACCACTAGTGTAACAACCAGTACCACTAGTGTAACAACCAGTACCACTAGTATAACAACCAGTACCACTAGTGTAACAACCAGTACCACTAGTGTAACAACCAGTACCACTAGTGTAACAACCAGTACCACTAGTGTAACAACCAGTACCACTAGTGTAACAACCAGTACCACTAGTGTAACAACCAGTACCACTAGTATAACAACCAGTACCACTAGCGTAACAACCAGTACCACTAGTGTAACAACCAGTACCACTAGTGTAAACAACCAGTACCACTAGTGTAACAACCAGTACCACTAGTGAAAACAACCAGTACCACTAGTGTAACAACCAGTACCACTAGTGTAACAACCAGTACCACTAGTGTAACAGCCAGTACCACTAGTGTAACAGCCAGTACCACTAGTGTAACAACCAGTACCACTAGTGTAACAACCAGTACCACTAGTGTAACAACCAGTACCACTAGTGTAATAACCAGTACCACTAGTGTAACAACCAGTACCACTAGTGTAACAACCAGTACCACTAGTGTAACAACCAGTACCACTAGTGCAACAGCCAGTACCACTAGTGTAACAACCAGTACCACTAGTGTAACAACCAGTACCACTAGTGTAACAACCAGTACCACTAGTGCAACAACCAGTATCACTAGAGTAAAAACAAGTACTACTAGTGTAACAACGAGTACCACTAGTGTAGCAACCAGTACCACTAGTATAACCAGTACCACTAGTGTAACAACCAGTACCACTAGTGTAACAACCAGTACAACTAGTGCAACAACCAGTACCACTAGTTTAACAACCAGCACAACTAGTGTAACAACCAGTACCACTAGTGTAACAATCAATACCACTAGTGTAACCAGTACCACTAGTGTAACAACCAGTACCACTAGTGTAACAACCAGTACCACTAGTGTAACAACCAGTACCACTAGTGTAACAACCAGTATCACTAGAGTAACAACAAGTACTACTAGTGTAACAACCAGTACCACTAGTGTAGCAACCAGTACCACTAGTATAACCAGTACCACTATGTAACAACCGAAACCACTAGTGTAACAACCAGTTCCACTAGTGTAACAATCAATACTACTAGTGTAACAACCAGTACCACTAGTGTAACAACCAGTACCACTAGTGTAACAACCAATACCACTAGTATAACAACCAGTACCACTAGTGTAACAACCAGTACCACTAGTGTAACAACCAGTACCACTAGTGTAACAACCAGTACCACTAGTGTAACAATCAGCACCACTAGTGTAACAACCAGTACCACTAGTGTAACAACCAGTACCACTAGAGTAACAACAAGTACTACTAGTGTAACAACCAGTACCACTAGTGTAAAAACCAGTACCACTAGTATAACCAGTACCACTAGTGTAACAACCAGTACCACTAGTGTAACAACCAGTACAACTAGTGTAACAACCAGTACCACTAGTGTAACAACCAGTACTAGTGTAACAACCAGTACCACTAGAGTAACAACCAGTACCACAAGTATAACAACCAGTACCATTAGTGTAACAACCAGTACCATTGGTGTAACAACCACTACCACTGGTGTAACAACCAGTACCACTAGTGTAACAACCAGTACCACTAGTGTAAGAACCAGTACCACTAGTATAACAACCAATACCACTAGTGTAACAACCAGTATCACTAGTGTAACAACCAGTACCACTAGTGTAACAACCAGTACCACTAGTGTAACAACCAGTACCCTAGTGTAACAACCAGTACCACTAGTATAACAACCAGTACCACTAGTATAAACAACCAGTAACCACTAGTGTAACAACCGGTCCCACTAGTGTAACAACCGATACCACTAGTGTAACAACCAGTACCACTAGTGTAACAACCAGTACCACTAGTGTAACAACCAGTACCACTAGTGTAACAACCAGTACCACTAGTGTTACAACCAGTACAACTAGTGTAACAACCAACACCACTAGTGTAACAACCAGTACCACTAGTATAACCAGTACCACTAGTGTAACAACCAGTACCACTAGTGTAACAACCAGTACCACTAGTGTAACAACCAGTACCACTAGTGTAACAACCAGTACCACTAGTGTAACAACCAGTACCAATAGTGTAACAACCAGTATCACTAGAGTAACAACAAGTACTACTAGTGTAACAACCAGTACCACTAGTGTAGCAACGAGTACCACTAGTATAACCAGTACCACTAGTGTAACAACCAGTACTACTAGTGTAACAACCAGTACAACTAGTGCAACAACCAGTACCACTAGTGTAACAACAAGTACCACTAGTGTAACAACCAGTACCACTAGTGTAACAACCAGTACCACTAGTGTAACAACCAGTAACACTAGTGTAACAACCAGTACCACTAGTGTAACAACCAGTACCACTAGTGTAACAACCAGTAACACTAGTGTAACAACCAGTACCACTAGTGTAACAACCAGTACCACTAGTATAACAACCAGTACCACTAGTGTAACAACCAGTACCACTAGTATAACAACCAGTACCACTAGTGTAACAACCAGTACTATTAGTGTAACAACCACTACCACTAGTGTAACAACCAGTGCCACTAGTGTAACAACCAGTACCACTAGTGTAACAACCAGTACCACTAGAATAACAACCAATACCACTAGTGAAACAACCAAACATAGTACAGCAGGTTTTGCCAGTATTAAGCGTAAGTTTATTGGCTGTCATCCAAGTCGATATTTTGATCAGCTCCTCGTTAACAATGGTGTTGAGGGTGGCAAGATTAGGGTGAGAGATGACATAAGTCGTGTCGTCAGCAAAGAGAATGGGGTTCAGGTGTTGGGATACGTTTGGAAGATCATTGATGTATATGAGGAAGAGCAGGGGACCAAGGACATTTCCCTGCGGAACTCCAGTATCAAGTGGCCGTGTTGTTGATGCTGTGTCTTTAATGGTGACATACTGATACCTATTAGTAAGGTAAGATTTGAGATATGCAAGCGCATTGTACCACTAACAGTACCAATAGTACCAGCACCACTAGTGTAACAACCAGAACCACTAGTGTAACAACCAGTACCACTAGTGTAACAATCAATACTACTAGTGTAACAACCAGTACCACTAGTGTAACAACCAGTACCACTAGTGTAACAACCAATACCACTAGTATAACAACCAGTACCACTAGTGTAACAACCAGTACCACTAGTGTAACAACCAGTACCACTAGTGTAACAACCAGTACCACTAGTGTAACAATCAGCACCACTAGTGT